AGCAAGTTTCCTAAGATTTAACCCCAGATCTTCAAACATGCATTCATCTTAAAAAGAAAATAAGAAAAGAAACTGGAACTGTCAGTTATTTTTTGTACTTACTAAAGGGAACTGGTGACAGAAATTGTGTCTGTCCTGCTAAATAGTGCCATATACAGTTATAGCTAAATAAAATATTTGTTGATCGACTCCTTGACAGACAAATGGTACTTCGGGGGTTTGTATGTTTTTCCCAAGCCATGTGCTGGAGTGCTTTCATGCTGCTGACTCCATGAGTTCTATTAGCTCCAGTCACCTCCAAAGAGAAGAATGAAGGCAGTGGCCCTCCAGGGTAAAATAGAAATTGAAATCAACCCAGGAGCAGCCCTTCCTAGTCAGTGAAGACTTTGGATAAGCACAATGTGTGGTGTGCCTGAGGAGATTATATATAAATATGCCTTTGTCACTCACATAACTAAAACCAAGAGACTGCTATGTACAGCAGTCTCTGACATGTCTAAGGACATACCTGTAAACAGGAAATGGGACAGTTATTGCTCTCCCAACACCAACAAGCTAGGAATGGCTGCTGACTGTCTTACTAGATAGTGGATTCTCTTACATACAACAATTTCAATTAAGTCTTAAGACACTGACCCAAAAAAATAGATGTTGCTAGTCTCATTTTATAGTTTATGCAACTGAAGCTTGGAAGGTTGAATAACTCAAACAAATGGCAATTAAGTTACTTATGGCTGCCTTAGAATCTCGGGGCTGGGGATTTAGCTCAGCGGCATAAGCACCTGCCTTGCAAGCAGGCAGTCGTGAGTTCGATCCCTGGTACCGATAAAAAAGAAGAAGACAAAAAAAAAAAAAAAAAAGAATCTGGAACTATCTGGTTCCAAAAGCATATAATAACTATGCCTAGGGTATAGTGCCAAGAGTTTACAAAATACTTTCATCATGTATTATCTTATTTCCTCCGAACAGATTTATAAGTATTACTAAGTTTATTCTACTAAACAGAAAACTCATACAACTCAGCTGCTCCAGTCTCAGAGTTCTTAAGTGATAAAAACAGACTTGTAATCCGGTTCAGACTATAATCCCTAATCTCTTTCCACTCTCTATATTTTTATTAAGTTCTGAATTCTGCACAAGGGTGTATATATGAGAACGTGATCTAAGCCCCTGATGAAGACTCACGGAGACTACAAAGTAAGGCAATGGGAAAACTAGAGTTGAAGCTCATGTCGGGTGAAATTTTATGAGTTGTGTTTATTCTGTGCTTCAAGGATAGTCACTTACTTAGTCTACGGTTAGCAATATCATGCTGGGTGGACCATGCACACCTATTAACATCTGGAACAAAGCCTCATGTCATTCAGTATTTTTACACTGTAATAATGTTCATCAAATGGTCTAACTAGTTACTTATTACAGTAGAAATGACAGATCCCCAATTAAGATGCCAAAAGCTCTTTCTCCCTTCTAATAAGACTTGCCACTGGGTAACTGCACAAGCATCAAGCCAAGCCATTGGCAAGGAAATTTAATGAATGAGAGGGTGACTTAAGACTGATACAGGGTGGGGCTGGAGGTTTAGCTCAGCGGCATAAGTGCCTGCCTTGCAAGCAGGCAGTCGTGAGTTCAATCCCTGGTACTGATTAAAAGGAAAAAGACAAAAAAAAAAAAAAAAAAAAGGCTGATACAGGGGCCAGGGATGTAGCTCAGTACTAGAGTTTTGCCTAGCCCTGGAATCCATTTCCATCACAAGAAATGTATGTACAGATATAGATATATATAGAGAGAGATGAGAAAAGAAATCTATGAAAATGCTTAAAGATAGTGATAATTTTTTTTCTCATATCTGTATCTTTGATAATCCCTAAATCAATGCTGGTTCTTGGTAAGCAGTTACTTATTGAATGAGCGAGTGAATCAATCAAGCAAGCAATCAAAGTTCCAAAAGTTCCAACTCAGAGAGACTCTCCAGAGGAGCTCAGAACTCAGAAGCACCTGAAAGCAAAAAGGAAGTCAGTGCTTAGAGTGAAGGGAGAAGTCACAGAGGGATGTGGTTTGCCACTGACCATGTGGTCATGTCCCAAACTGACCATCTGCAACATGTAAGAACTAAACATGATACTTCAGTATAATGGAGGGCCTCAGCCTCTAGCAATGAAGTGTTCAGTGAGGTTCCTTTCTTGTGAGTAAATATAGAATCGCCATAGGGAGGGAGATCAGTTAATCTCTAAGTTCACAAGCTTCTGAGTCTCCTCCAGCACTTTGGAAGCCTTCACCAGGACGCCCCATTCCAGCCTCCTTCACTGGGGTTCTTGTATGTCTCAGCTCACTGTGCCCTCCAAGTTCATGTATGTGACTTCAAGTCTCAGGGGAAGAATTTTTATCTGGAATCCTCCCTCACTGTCCTACCTAACCACCCAAGTCTTAAGGGGATCTTCCTTTCGTTACCCAAACAGATAACCCAAATGCTGATGCTGATTAGGGAACCCCAGATAAAGCAATGCTCTCATTTCATGTGAAAACAATTTTGACTGTTTTTTGAAAGTAAGAAACAAACCCAATAGTAATAGTAATAATGATTCTTGTCATCAATAGAGATCACTGATACTATTACAGCACATTATTGCTGCTACAGGTACCTGGAAATTCCATTCTGTTTACATTTATCACTGCTTTGAAATTATGGTTATGGTTAGACCTACCACTAGAACATATTATTTAATTGATCTGTAAAGAAATGCATATATTATTATATCTTTTTGAAAAATGATTTTGAAATCATTTTGAAAAATGATTTTAATTTAAATATCATTGGTTTGCTTTAAATCCGATGGACTTAAAAATTTTAAAATATCCTGAAAATGGATCTATAGCCCCTACAGGACTACCCACCAAGTCCTTAGCATGTGTGCAGCACACATGCACAGAGTCCCTACCCTAGAGAGAACTGGTTATGCCAAAAAATAAAAAATCACTCTGGTACTCCTCTCCCTTTTTTTCCCCTCTCTTTTGCTCCTCCCCAAAAGCACCTTTCAGTGAGGAGGCTCCTCCTTCTGCAGAACTGCTGGGTTCTCAGGGATAAAGGAGAGAGCTGGGGGGCATGGTCTGTGTCCTGAAAGTGACTTTGGCAGCGGTTCTTAGGGGCTGGGCTCCACAGCTTTCTTTGAACTGAGCCACCTTTCCTAGTTCAGAATCCACTGTTATAAACATTGACTTTGAGGGTTAAGAAAACTACAGTCTACAGGAGGAGAAACTTCCTGGGATAGGTCACTCTATACTCATCCAAAATAGCCATGGAGAGGTGAGACACAGCTCCCCTCTCCAGGGTAGGCCAGCACCACCATCCTTATTTGATTTCATATTTATAGGCTGGCCAGAGAGTGAATAGGATGGGCATATCCTTTTTGAAAGAGAAGCAAAAGAATCAAGGCCATTCAAGCTGGCCAAATGTCTGCCCTGGGTCACAGGGTGTTTGGGCAGTGCCAATTACTAATCCCATCTGCCTCACAGAGGCCTCAGTAGCTGCTGAAAGCACTATCCAATTTACAAACAAGGAAGGAGCCTGGAACACAGGCATCCTGGTCCTGGGCAGGGGCGGGGACGGGGGCACCATCTACACTGGCTGTTCCCTGCTAAGAGTTTATCTACACATCCACAGCCGGAAAAGGAATCAGCATTCCTGTGCTTGCGACTTAAAGAAAATTAATGACTAGGCCAGAGGCTCCTGAGGCCTCACTACCCTAGCAGTTCCAACACCGCTGGGGGATTTCTAGGCTGGGGGAATGCCTCACCTTCTGTCCTCGGCTAAGACTGGGATTTCTTAGAAGGTTGGGGGGCCAATCAGCAGCCATAAATCTTAGAGAACCTTCACCGTTTTACAAGGGAGTTCAGGGGCTACTCATCTCCCTCTCGAAGTCTATTTACAATGTTCAAGTCTCGTGTTAATGGACCTAGGATAATGGTGTTTACTTGACTGCGATAAAGCGCTCAGCTTCCTGGGGGAGCTGTGAAATGTTCTGGGGGTAGAAGTGAAAGGGGGCACCATAAAAGAGGGTGCTGGAAGGGCGGGCACGAGGTTCCCTTCCAGGCAGGCCCCCTCCCTCCACCCTCAGGCCAGGGTGAGTAGCCCAGACCTCACGGGTGAGGACAGTTCCCACATAAATCACCAGCACCAGAGCCTCGGGAAAGACGCATTTTTCATTGCTGGCTGCAGGGCAACTCCAGACAGCCAACGAGAAACAGAAGTTGTCTTTAGATAAACGGTTTACCAGAGTGTGTGTCCTGGCAGGGCGGTGCTCAGAACACAGGGCAACCTGGGCCTAGCGCCGTGTCCCCCACAAGCAGAGCACCTCCTGGAGTTCTCCTAGAAACATCTAGGTCCTCCTAAGGGCTATCCCACATCCTCCATCAGAAGGGGCGAGAGAGCCAGAAGGAAAGAAAGGGAAAACATCAGGATCTGTGGACACTGGAGCAGCAGTGCACTGGCATTCAAACACCGGAGAGTCTACCTCCACAATTATGAGCTATGTGATCTCCAGCAAACGACCTTACCTCCCTGAACTTCAAGAATCTAGTTGTAAAATGGATATGCAAAGCACTGTCTTCCTAGTCTGTGTTCAGAATTAACAGATGAAATCAAATGTCATTTCTGAAACCTGTAAAGTCAAAATTGTGTATTAACCAGAGGTCTGTGGACGACCCTAGAAGGCATAATTGCTGACATAGAAATGTATGTGTCCATGTACATTCTTTGAGGGAGAGGGAGATGGAGAGGGTCTATATAGCTGGTGTCTGGATCCCAACCAAGTGATCTCAACCCAAAACACTTATTACCCCTGCCCTAGTCCTTTAGACAAATTATTGCATTGTTCCAGTCCTGATTCTGCTACTTACTAGGGATGAGATGTTTCCCAAATCCCTAATGCCTTGGGTTTTCCTCTTCTGTAAACGAGCTTCTAGGATTTTTGGAAATATATGTCTGGCACATAGTAAATGCTAAGCAAATGATAGCTGTTTTTATGCACCAGTCGCTGGCCTCCTAGCAAAGATGTTTGGCTCCTGAGCCAGGAAGTCCAGGACTAGCCCTTCAAACTGAAGGCTACCAAAATCCTGCAAACCTCTGTTGGTCCCAGTCGCCAGTGCCCTTTGCTAGCTTTTTCATTATGTCAGGGGGTGTACAAACCACATTTTGCTCCAGGGCATACAGCTCCAGATGTACAGTGCACATCTGAGACAAGGAGCCTCAGAACCTCCCCAGCTTAGAGGGCTGCAAACCGCTCAGCACATCCAAGGGATGGCTGTCACCTGCAGCAGCTAGGCGTTCTGGGCTGGTGGTATCTAGATTTGGAGGCCCAACATTAAACCTGTCCCCACCTTCAGGAGAAAATCAGAGCAGCCATCATCCTGCTAGCCCAGGGTCTTGTTTACTTGTTGACATGTGTACACCCAAACTACACAACCTCTACTTTGGAATCAACCTTAGAGACCTAAAATCCCAGAGCAGCCACCTTTAGCTCCCACCCAGCTTCCTATCGAGGACAGACACGTTTCCTTCCCTTCTAAGGTCAGAGGTCGAGCCTGGGAGGGGCCTGCTGCCCCTTCCCCAGGCCCACCCGCTCTGAAGTCCCGAGCCCCGTTTCCAGCAGCTTTCTCTCTCCCCTCCCAGCCTGCTATCCATTAGCGTAATCCCCTGTCCAAACACTGCGGCAAGGATGGCCAGACTTCGGTGTAAACAGACCAGAGGGGACAATTCTAACGATATAAATAAAATAACCATTAATAGCGCAAACTGTTCGATGACTTGGAGGTTTCGCCGGGGTTTGTGTACACAGCGTGGACACTGCGCATCCGTCAGGTGAACCAGAGGTTCTTCTCCCGGCCAAAATCTAAACCCAGCACAGGTAAGATGCCCGCAAGCGCGTCAGTGTGGTCCTGGCTCCTGACGTGCTCAGAGGGCTGGAGACAGACGCACACTCCGAGGTCGCCCTGAGGCCACAGCTGGTCCCAAACGCTACACAGCCCAGGATAACCCGGCTCTGCAAAAACCTTCTGCCTGCGGGCGTCACCGGGCCCTATCTGCAGCCTCCGCGCCCGCAGGAGCCAGAGCTCACAGGAGGAAGGGAAAGCGCGTCCGCTTATCACAGGGTTAGTGTGGTAATAGGCTGACATTTGTGGAGCGTTAACTGTGCCAGGCATCTCCCTAGTGCTCCACTGAGGTAAGCTCTAATCGTCAGGAAGCCTACGAGGCAGGTACTTTTAATTCTATGGATCAGAAAAGCAGAACTCACAGTGGTTAAGGAACTGCTCGATGGCGAGTGTAACCCGCAGTGCTGCTCCGGGAAGTGCACGGTGCCCAGCCTCTAGAGTCACTTGCGCCAACTCCTGCATGGAGTTCCCAAGTCTGAAGACGGGTTCCTGAGCACCCTGGCCCCAATGTCTGAGTGTTCGGTTTCCAGTGGCGAGTTCTCGCTTCTCCCAAGGGCGTGGGGGGAGAGGTCGGGAAATCTACTGCGAAAGCCTGATGACCTATTCCCAGGGATCCACCTGTTCAACTCGCCACGGCCAGAGGCCTGGATGGCCCTGGCACAGCGTGGGGAATGCAGATGCAGCTCCCAGTGTAAGGCTGCCGGGGTAGAATCTGGGCCGGGGACTCCCCACTCAGGGAAAGTTTCCGGGGAGCCGGAGCTATGGAGATGGAGTCTTGGGAGTTCCACTGGAGCAAAGTGAGCCCATGGAGATGGAGTCTTAGGAGTTCCGCTGGAGCAAGACCTTCTCCCTGGGTGTGGAACGCAGCACGGTCCTGGAGACCTTGCACCAATCCGTAAGATTCCATCACCTCGTACAAATAATTTCACTTCTGCGGCCTTTATTTCCATGGCCCTAAATATGAAGGGCAATGACACTTGTCTCGTATTCCTATGTTGTAGCGGTTGGGGAAGATCAGGTGTGTGGAATACTTTGTTCTGATTAATATTGACTCTATAGGAGGCGTCTCAGAGGGCAAGGCTGAGAGATAGCAGCCTCGTCCTGAAGACAGCGAAGAACAGAGGTGGGGAGAAAGACAGTAGCTCTGGGGTACTGATGAGGAAGGGAAGAGGGGGAGGGGGCTTCACGAGACCCCGCCCATCGCCCTGCAGTGTTTATTTTCGAGGCAGCTTCCAGGCAATCCTGTCGCCAGTGCACATTCTTCTCGGAGGCTGTGAACCGCTGCCTGGTCGCTGGCAGAAAGATTTTAAGACAGGGAGGGCTGTCGAGCAGGAATCTGCATAAGCGGAGAGAAAAGTGCCTGAGCAGGGAATAGGACACAACCTGGTCACAGGCCCGGGCTGTGCAGGAAAGGGAGAGGAACAGGCAGAGAAAGGAAGCTGAGTGTGCAAGACAAGGAACTTTAACAGCCTCTTCTGTGACAGGATTATGTTAACAGGACCAAAGACGAGAGCTGTTGCAGGAAGCAGATACACTAGCAACGGTCACAGCCTGGTGCTGTTACAGGATCTTCATACCTATGAGTCATGAATTCTCCCAGCCCTGTGGAGGTGGGTAGACCAGTTGTCTCACCTTTACCTTGGGGGTGGGGGAAGGAGAACTATGTGGTGCTTGTAGGAAAACTAGGGAACAGCAGCTGGTGCTATCCATAAAGTCACTGATGGTGGAGTTATTGTCATTGTTGTCAGCTGTATCATTTCTACCATTACCACCTTTCACTGTCAATCCTGAGAGGTGGTCATAAGGAACTCCTTAATGAATGAGGAAATAGGCTCAGAGAAGGTAAGAGCTGTCCAATACCCCACAACCAGTGGGGCCTACTGGAAAAATTAGAAACCAGACAGATTCCAAGGCCAGATGTTCTTGCCCACAACCAAAGAAAAAAGGAGAAAAAGAGCAAAGGAGTGCTGAGCAGGGCCATAGTGGGAGACAGATGCCCACATTCTGGGTAGGTTCAGGGCAGCTGATTTATTTGCATTCCAGTAAAGACACTAATTGGCCAGATCTTTATCTAAACACAATCACTATGACTTGAGACTTCAGGGATTTGTTTACAGGAGCTGAAAATGATGCATTTGTGGTAGCTGGAAGCTCAGTTGGAGATCCAGATTTGTTTTCTGGGGCCACAGAGGGTGGGCAGTGTTCAGGGTGAGACTCAGAGGAGATGTGAGATACCAAAAGGAAGCTGTTACTATTTCTGTAAGTGAAAAAAAGTGCATACCGTGATTGGTAATTAAATAATGCTCTTTTCTGCCAGGTGGGAAAGTGAGGGAAGGGGCTGGAATCCTGCTTCCTGCTTAGCAAGTTCCTTGCCTGACAACTACTTCTCATGTCCACCCCCAGCCAACACCACAAAAATATTTTTTTTTAGCATTTTTCCACAGAGCATTCTGTCAGTGGCTTACTTTCATTGTTTTTTTTTTTCTTCTTTTGTCTTTTTGAGATAGAATCTCTATGTAGTTCAGGCTGGCCTTGAACTCACTTTGTAGCCCAGGCTGGTAGTGATCCTCCTGCCTTAGCCTCCGGAGTGCTGGGATTATAGGCTTGAGCCACCACTCGGGCTACTTTCATTATTTCTTTAGTCTTTGCTGCAGGTTTATAAAATCCACACCATTATTATCTTCTCCTACAGGTAAGAAACCTGCTGCTTGATGAGTGTGAAAAACTGGATCAAGGGCACAAGACTAGAATAGCAGAAGAACTCCAATCCAAACCAAGATTTAGTGGACTCCAGGACCCAGGCTTTGCCTCAAAACAGAGGAACAAAGTGTGACTGTGACTCAAGGAAAGCTGAATCTCCCAGGGTCCACTCTACACTCAGCCTCCCTACTCCATGGGCTCCCCCTGGGTGGACTGAGAGTGGGAAGAGCTCTTAGGTATCAACCCTTACACATGCGTGCTCATGAGGTCTGTGTTTTCCATCCACATGCATGTTTATTGGCTTACTGGCTGTGAGAAGTGTAAAACATTCACATGTACCCAGGTACATGTGCACTCAGTGTGGTACACAGTACATACATACATACATACATACACACATAGTCCACTGTCTCTACTGTACTAAAGCAGGGTGAGGTCACAGAATGTGGAGTTGAATATTTCAATGTGGTTTTATTACTTTCAAGAGCACACACAGTTATTACAACTCTGGCAGTAAAATCTATTCCTCCTTCTCTTACTGCAGCTTAGACAGGTCCTTATGGGGCCACTTTGCACAAGACTAATTGTAAGGATCCCATAAATTGCCTATGTGGAAATAGTACATCTAATAGTCATGGAAGCTAGTTTTCCTCTTAGATTATATAAACATTTCTCTTCAAATCTCACATGGCTACCAGTGATTCACATTACTGTGGGGAAAAGGGAGGGAGAAGAATTAAAACTGAGTGTTGGCTCAGTCTCCTGTAATGACCAGGCGCTCTGAAAGTGCAAAGTATTGATGTGCTGCCTACATTTATGAGGAATCCTGAGTGCCTTCTTCCCCATGCATGTCCACATGTACACATCCTTCTTCACACAAGGAAGTATCTTTCTTTTTATTCAAGGAGAAAGACAAGTTCATAGAAGCATATGTGGCAGGCCTACATTCGTCTGTTGAAAAACTGTATTTCCAGAGTGAGAAAGCTGCCTCCAATCTCAGGCATGACTGCAGGCAAAAGGTAAAAGAGGGGCGTAGAGATTGACCAGCTACCTAACCTTCCCTGGAAAGCCCAACTCAGTGGAAAAAGCCTGAAGCCTGTCTCCTGGGGGGGGGGGTCAGTGAGTCAGTAGCACCATGGGCACCATATCCACAGCGAGGAAGAGGAGATTGTGGTTGGGCCCAAAGCAGCTGCAGAACGCTCACTCCTAACCCCCCCCACCACCATCCTCGCACACCGAGAAGATGGGGCCTCCACTGTCCTCTCCCAGATTCAACCCCTGTATTCAAGGCAGTCCTAAAAACACCTCCTGGCGCAGGTATCTCAAGGCTAAACCACGTCCAGTCTAAAGTGGACTGGAAGGAAACAAGGGGAGGCCAGTCTGCCTCACCTGATGCAGTGGGGGAAGGAAAGTGCCCCCTGATTCCCCCATCTGCTCTGAAGGGATGCCTGGGGCCAGGGCCTCTGGCGCAATCTCAGCTCTCCTCGGGTCTGCTCTGTACTGCCACAATAGAAGGAAATGGAAGCTCCTTGAGGTCTGCCTGGAGTGGGAATTTCCACAAGGAGGTGGCCAAGCCTGCCACCTGGAGCAGGACAGAGCAGCTGGGGCCCTCGGTGGAGCTTGGGGGGGAGGGTGGTGCTGGGAGGTGACAGAAGTCTTAGGAGACAGAGCTAGAGTAGCATCCTTTTTGCATGCCCCAGGGTCAGTCAAAACTTTCACAAGTGCCTCTGGGCACACAGGGTTGGATTTGGGGACAGGATATGGGTCTCAACTAGTCTGACTCCACCTGATTCAGCCCTCCTTTGTAACCCCGGATTCTTTTATATCAAACACCTTTGGGGACCAGAACTAAGGAGCTCAGATAGGAGGAAATGAAATAAGATCAAAGAGAGTAAGAGAAAGTGAGGCATCAACAGATGAGAAGGAGTGAGTGAGTGAAAAAGGGAAGCTGGGGAGATGGAGAAGGTGATGGCTAGAGGAAGTGGGGTTAGAGGAGTGAGGAAAGGGGGAGTGGGGAAGGGAAGGCTGCAGGAGTAAGAGGTGGGCTCTGGGAAAGAGGAAGAGGCCCCGGGAGGAGAAACTCTGGCCAAGAAGGGAAGGAGAAGAGATGCGGGGAAGAAGGCGATACAGTCTGGAGTCCTGAAACTCTGCCGGCTCTCTGGAAGCGACCAGCTCCGAGACGTGAGAAGGTCCCCTCCTCCGGTCAGGTGAGCAGGAATGTGGGGTGGGGGCAGTGGTGCAGTTAGAGACCCTAGAGGCAGGTTCAAGGTCAGAGACGCAGCCAGAGCAGAGCCGCCCTCGCCGGCCCTTCCACCGCCTCGCAGCAGGAGCGCGCGCTCGGGGAAGAAAGTCCCGCACTCGCGACCCCAGTCGAGCGCGCACCGACTTAGAGGCGGCACAGATACGACCCCGCACTTAGTCCCCAAGCTTGGAGTCCTCAAACCCTTGACCGAAGACCTGACTCCTAGGAATCTCTCCAGGGCGGGGATGCAAAGTCCAGAGGCCCTGAGCTGCCAGCTCGTTGCGTCTTCGGACCCCTGTGGCCGGGCATCCTGGCACTCTGCACCCATCTGGGGCCTCAGTCATCTCGGGGTCTGGTCCCTTGTGGATTCCGAGCAAAGCCAGAAGCTCACGGCACCCCTCCACCCCTAAAGCCCCCACCACCGCCAGCCGCCCGAGGGTTGGGTCCCGGGAACTGCAGGAGCCAGGGTGTGGCTAGGCCTGCAGACTAGGCTGGCGGCTGTCCGGTGGCAGTGGCGGAACAAAAGTCTCGGGCAACCTTGGGAGTCCTACCCCGTGACTTCAGGCTGGAAGCAAAGGGAGCAAATAAAACCTTATTTAAATCACCAGACTGCGGCAAACGTTTCTTTCCAAGTGAAAAAGTCTTTTTCATTCTGAAATAGCTTGAGAGTATCCGCCACAACTTGAAGCCCAGGGAGATTTGAGGAAAGATTTCTACAACCCAAGAGGCCGAAGTTCCCAGCAGACGCGGGGCTGAGCAGACCACGAAAACACAGCGCTAGCAAGATGTGCATAAAATCTCTGCTTCTTGGAAAGGGATTCGCCTCCGCTCCAACACTGCTCAGCAAGCCGCACAACGCAGATAGCTGTTCTGGTTTAAGTGAATTAATTCGCCAAAGATGGCAGCCACTCATCTACAGTTGTATTTTAAAAGGTTTATAGACGTTGACATTTCGCTACAGGAAGTTAAAATCGCTCTAAAGAAAAAAAAGTTATGGAATGCATTCAGAATTCCAGTTTAAGCCCCTACAAGTTACAAGTGCTCACTGCACTCTCAATCAGTGCAAATAAATTCCTACATACAGGTGTCCTTCAGTTAGGTGGTTTAATTTGACCAAAAAATTGAATTGATTTTCGTTGGGAAAAGGTACTCCTTCTGACTCCAATGTTTACTAACAAAATGGAGCTCGTTTCAGTGAGGAAAGCTGAATTTACACTTTTATCTTTGCAATTTTTGGAGAGGGATGTTAAAAGTCCTCTCCCTAAGAAATCGAAAGTTACTTTGCTAACAAGGACCTGTATTTTACAAAAACTACAAAATTTGCTGAATTTGGACTGATTTTCTTCCAGGGGATAGAAATGGTGTTTTATTTAGAAAACTCAGTTTTAAACAACATCTAGAAAAATGTGGCATGTATGCAAACAACACACAAAACAAACCACATGTTCACAACAGCATTTTAAAATCCCTCTTCCAAAGTTACTTCAAAAGGGAAACAAATGCTCTCAAGAAATTAGATCAGTTTAGTGCTTTCTAAAAACCCAATAGAAAATTCATTCTACCTTCTTAAAGTAAAACGCTATTGCTTCTAACTTGCTCAACAATTCTGAAAAGCTTTCTGACATATCTTGACTAAAAACCAAACCCACACCATTATCACCAATAATAAATGAATAAAAAATTCATTTTTGTTGCTAAAGAGAAAAACTTTTTCCTTTTCATTATCCTTCTTGTAAGATATCATTAAAAATGAAATTTCTAGGATAGCCATTAAAAAAAAAATTTTTTTTAAACCAGAACTGTGATACTGGTTTTGACTAGCTGAGTTATCGCAGGATTTTTTTTCATGTTTTAATAAAAATTATTTTCGACTGTGGTGCTACATTTAGATTAGAAAGCCATAATAGTTTCAACTTCTATGTGACCTTTGTTACATAATTGAATGGCTATTAAACAACATGACAAACAGTGGCATGTATAACTAAAATAATTGATTATCTGCCTGTATTTATACGTACAGTAATTAAGCAAGTTTTGTGTAGAGAATAAAACCAGGGCACTTCAGTTTTCAAAGAATTCTCACATACTAACTCAATAATGTTTCTTTTTTTTTTTTTTTTTTTTGATATCAGGAATCAAATGACCTTACTCTTGCCAGCCAGGCACTTGTGCCTCTGAGCTATATCCCTGGCCACAGTAATGTATAAAGGTTAGCATGTTCTCTTTTTTAAAGAAAGAAAGGTTCGATTTTATTACTTAGTATCTATATAGCATTTTCCCTGAACGTGGAATTTGCCATCATTTAACCATGATCTTTAATCTAATATCCGATTGGAGGTTCTATAAGTGTGTGATATGATATACACTCGATTAAAATTAAATCAAATACTTCCACGATGCAGCCATATTTACATTATCTGACAGTAATTAGCTAAACTATCTGGAACGAAAACCTATCATTAGTGGAGCATAGTTCCAGGATTTCAAAGATCCCCTTTGCAGACAAGAGACTGCAAATGCCCAGAACGCCCTGCAGTAACAAGATACACTTTGGAAGCAGATCTCACACTCTGATAAGCGACTCCCGGTAGCCACAGCCGACCTGCAAGTACCGCACTTGATTTTCCTCCCCGACGGCCGCACGCAGCTGGGGGCACACAGGGCCCTCGGTCGTGGAGGACTCAGCCTGCTACGCCGGAGAGGGAGGCCGGCTTCATTCGACCCGCCAGGCTGGGATCCATTATGGGAAACCCGGCGACCAGAGCAAAGGGAACCTGAGCAGTCTGGAGAAAGTAGCTGGAGATGACCGGAACCTAGCTCAGAAAGCCCCAGACAGAAATCTCCTGTGCACTGGGTCAGCTCTGGTCGAGCCTTCGGGGTGGGAAGAGAAAAGCAGGATATGGCACAGAAGCTGCGCGCTAGGCCCCTTCGCCGGGACTCCCCAAGTCCGGAGTCCTCACAGGCCTCTGGTTTGGCCAGAACAGCAATTCAACCAGCGGGGCTGCGTTCCCCGGGGCCTCAGGAGGAGCAACCTGGTCGGGGTCCGTAATACAGAAACGCTCAGGTCTGGCCCCGGGCGGGGTTGCGGGGCGCGAGGCTTTGGGTGCGTGGCCTGCGGGTGGGAAGAAGACAACCTTCTGCGTGTGCAGAGACAGAGTCTGGGTGGGCTCCCGCTGCCGCCGCGGGGGTATGGGCGTGTCACTGCGGTCAGGCTGCAGCAGCGCTTTGTCCGGGTCGGATTCTACGCCTCGGGTTCCTTGGACTAGCTTTAGGTAAGGCCTACGAGAGAAGCGATGGTCAGAAGGAAAGGCTGCAGCAAGCAGAAACGCAGCTTCAGTTGAGAACTAGCAAAAGAAAGAAAGCTAGTTTCGGTAGCATTAGTCATTTTCCTTTGGTGGAAATCTTGAAGTCACCTAAGAGGCAAAGAAAATTGTGGACCAAAGGGAGCAGAAACATTTCTCAGAGAAGTTTGCCCTAGAGTGGGGGTAGGGAGTTCAGACTAGAGTGCAGCTTCCTTCTGGTAGGAGGTGACTGGCGCACACACACTCAAGGTCCCCCCTCTCTGCACTGCCGCGCACTCACCCTCACCTCTGTCTGAATCTTTGCGCCGAGCCTTGTGGTCCGCTGCAAAACCAGGCGCATTCTTCCCTCTGCAGACGCCGGCTTGGTTTGGATGCACCAGCCTCCGCCTGGGGCGTCAGTAGTTTCAGGATTTAAAGCAGAAAGGCATTGGACCCTCCCTGTGGCTGAGAGACGGTCCCGGAGCTGGCCCTGTCCACGGACGTCTTTTCCCACCGCCAGCAGGTTACAGTTCCCTAAGGGTCGGCTCCTCGACGCACGTGGACCGCGAGGCATCCCAGCTCCCCAGGCGGCCCCAAGGGCTGCGTCCCGCAACATTTCCGCTCTCTCCTGAAGAGCCCCGCCTCCCCCCTCCCAACAGGCTGTTCTTTTTCTCCAGGGCCTTGGGCACCAAATTCTCTGGCAGGTTGCAGGGTCCTGCAGGCCAGCTCTCTACTTTCATCCCCAGTCATACTAGAATCTGCTGTTCCCCCGGAGCCCTGTCCAGAGATTCTGCGACTTCCACTTGCCCCTTCCAGCTGATACTGATTTCTTACAATTTTGCCATCCCAAGAGCAAAAGGAAAAGATGTTTGAGTCAACTAGATGACAGACACCATCGTCAGCCTTTCCTAAATTTTTCAAGGCCAGAGCTACCTAAAACCTCACAGCTGGGCCTGCTGCTACCCACTGGACAATCTTGGCAGCAAGTGAATGCCTACTGGGCAGGAAGAAGGTGGTTCCCAACAGAGTTTCCAGAATCTTTGGAAACCCCACACATTATTCCAGAAAGTGATCAGGGTATATGAGTAGAGAAATTAAAAGGCCATGTCGAAGAATCAAGGCCCAGACTCAGGCTCCAGATTTCAATAGGCAGAAAAGATGGTGGCCATGACTGACTGGTCACCTCCCTGCTGAGGACAGATTCTGCTCTCAAAAGCCCAGTGCGTGCAGCATCCCAGCCATGTCACTAATGTGGTCAACACATTGTATTATCCACTGACACAGAAAGGCTGCAGCTGACATGTCCTGAGAACTTACACAATACCATGTACTGAATTTCTGATATGTTTTGGCTTATTTAACCAAAACAAGAATCCCACAGAGGGTACTGCCCTTTCCTTTGCTTAGGAAACTGAAGAAATAAGAAATGCCCAAGGCCTTAGGCCACGATTCCAAACAAGAGCAGTGGAACAGCAAAGCATAGAAAGAACTCCATTTAAAAAAAAAAAGAAAAACTCTATTATCCTATCTTTCACATACCTGCTCTGCGCAGCCTCTGCAGGGGCAAATGCAACCTGGACCCTGGCCTCAGAGCGCTCACAGTCTAATAGGGCAATCAGGAAGACACTATCAAACTATCAGACTAGGTGGGAGGTGATAAGCCATTGGACTGTCCATTGCTAAGAGTAGCTGCCAAGTTGAAAAGTGAGAAAGAGGTCTCTGGCTAGGCGATCAGGGAGTGCTTCCTTGGAAGAGGTGGTTTTGGAGCAGAGCCTTGGAGAACAACTTGCCACTCTTGGCGACCAAAGATGGGAAAGACATTCCAAAAGGAGTGAACAGCTTGAACAAGGGCAATAAGGCAGAAATGGACGTCGCTCATCCATAGATAAAAACTCTCGGCCTCCTTGTGGATACAACGCCAAGTATTGACCGGCAAGAAAGTTTTCCTTAAAAAAAAAAAAAGTTTTCCTGCCTCCTCCGCAGCTAGAAAAACCACACTCTAGTTGCATTCTTCCCGGACTTTGGTGCGTGGATAGTAAACCTCTCTGAACTGGCCCAGGTCTGGAAGGTGCAGCCAAGTAGAGCGGAATATTGGTAGTTCGGCCACTGGGTCAGGGCAGCCCGAACTACAGCGACTCCACTTACCAAACCCTGTCCAAATCCTTGTCTATTTCTGGTAGCGGCGCAACATCCTACCCGTTGGACGCCGGGGCGTGGCCCACAAGCGCCAGAACCAATGAGGAAGGAGGCCAGGGCGCGGCCCCGCCCCCGACGTGACGCAAGGGCCCGGGACTGAGGCTTTGCGGCCCCGGCCCCAGTCCCTGCAGTGGCTGTAACAAAACCCAGACCCCCGGGTCCTGGCCAATGGAGGCGATTTAGACTGGAGCAGGACCGCGTCTGTCAAAAGCCCGACTCCGCAGCAGCGGCAGAGTCCAGGAGGAGAGCTGGAGCAGCCGCACTGCCTCCCCGCCCCCGCCGGGATTTATTGAGTATTTGGACTGGACAATTAAGTGGCCCCGATGATGTTACCAAGCCCGGTCACCTCCACCCCTTTCTCAGTCAAAGACATTCTGAATCTGGAACAGCAGCAGCACTTCCACGGCGCCCACTTGCAAGCGGACTTGGAGCACCCTTTCCACTCGGCGCCTTGTATGCTGGCCGCAACCGAGGGGACACAGTTTTCTGATGGAGGGGAGGAGGACGAGGAAGAAGAGGGCGAGAAACTGTCGTATTTGAACTCATTAGCCGCAGCCGATGGCCACGGAGATTCGGGTCTCTGTCCCCAGAGCTATGTCCACACGGTCCTGCGAGACTCATGCAGCGGGCCCAAACAGCATGAAGAGGAGGTCGTGAGGGATCGGAGCCAAAGTGAGTAGAGGGGGGAAGGAAACGCACCCTACACTTGAAACGTGGGGCAGCACCAGCAGACACTCCCAAAACTTGGCCAGAATGGGCTACTCGCCCTTTTAATTTTTGACTGGGGTCCTGCCTCTGCCCTCCTCCACAAACGCTCTGCAAAGCGCAGGTACCTGCAAGGGAACTGGGGCAGGGAGAAAGACAGGGCGACTCTGACAACTGCTCTCCCCAGAGCAGGGACAAGTTGCAGTCCCGAGAAAAGAAAAGTTGCTGCCTTGATGCTGATTAAGTGACACCACGCGCTCAGCTGCTGGGTCTTAAACATCTTGTACTATTTTGCTGCCCCTCACCCAATCAAAGGCTGTTCCTCCAAAATGGGCAGGAGCTCAACTGTGCTTCCACTTTTCCTTCAACGTGAAGCAGCTTCTATGAGGTCAGGGTAGCCAATCCTCTTCTCCAAAAAAGCCGCTAAAGCAGGTTGTGTCTCCAGAGTCCAAATCCTCAGGCTGCAGGTAGAGACTGCAGCAGCGGTGTGATTTCCTTCTCTGCTTGAAGCTCAGCATCCTAATAGGGCACTCGGCACAGGGGATGGTCGAAGGATGCCTGAGAACACTGCATGACCATAACACTCACAGGCCTGAGGCGCTGGCCTTTTTTGAAAATTCATAATCATTTTGCTTTGTGTCTCAGGCTGCAGGCCTAATAGAGAATCTGCCCAATTTAGTACAATATCTTGACTGCCCACGTTGGATGGGGAGGTGAATTAGAAAGTGAGACCGAATAACTTAATAAAGCCCCAAGGAATTGTTTCTGAAGGAACTAAATCAAAGAATTACATCCCCCAGCAGGAAGTTTGATATGCTAGGGGCCAAGGTACATCATGCTAACTCCTAACTCCTCAGGCCTAAAATCTACATAAAACTGTCTAAAACTACTCAAACTTATTCTCTAAGGTAACACAGACATTACCATGCACACATTTGCATGTCGTCTTTTATAAGCAAAATATCACTTCTCTGGCAACTCACAAGCGATACACTCAGACCTTTCCGAATAGGAAGACATTTGTGCAATCTGTGAATACTGGTCTCCCGCCATATCAACACACCTCACACCTTCACAGACTGGTGGTAGAATAGAAGGCAAATTAGCTTGCAAATACTGTAGTTACGCTGTCACAAGCTTTCGTCCCGAAAACAGCCATTAGCACGCCAAGTCGCACATTTTATAAGAATAAATTCTTCTCTCAAAGATGATGCTCAATTTTAGTAAATGCACTCTCGCTACTCCTCCCCGTGGAATGTGTCTCTGCCTTCTGACGGCGTTCTTTGGGTTCTCAGGCTATGGCAGGGTCCATTGGCATCAGGAGCTACAAACTTTCTAAAAAGTCCGGAAATTTGCTACTGAATGTTCTGAACTTCCACCATAAGAAAGAGACGACAGCGAGACCAGGATGAGCTAACGGTTTTACTTCTTCCGCAGAAAGCTGCCAGCTGAAGAAGCCCCTAGAGACAGCTGGAGATGGGAAGGCTGCGGAGGACGGCGAGAGGCCCAAGCCGCGCAGCCGCCGGAAGCCCCGGGTCCTCTTCTCGCAAGCCCAGGTCTTTGAGCTGGAGCGCAGGTTCAAGCAGCAGCGGTACCTGTCCGCGCCCGAGCGCGAGCACCTCGCCAGCAGCCTGAAACTCACGTCAACGCAAGTGAAAATCTGGTTCCAGAATCGCCGGTACAAGTGCAAGAGACAGCGGCAGGACAAATCACTGGAGCTGGGCGCGCACGCCCCGCCGCCGCCGCCTCGCCGCGTGGCGGTCCCGGTGCTGGTGCGGGACGGCAAACCGTGCGTGGCGCCCGGAGCGCAGGCCTACGGCGCGCCCTACAGTGTGGGCGCCGGCGCTTACTCCTACAACAGCTTCCCGGCCTACGGCTACGGGAACTCTGCCGCCGCTGCGGCCGCCGCGGCCGCCGCCGCCGCCGCCGCGGCCTATAGCGGAAGCTACGGCTGCGCGTACCCCCCTGGCGGAGGCGGGGGGTCCTCCGCGGCCGCCTCGGCCATGCAGCCCGCCTGCAGCGCGTCGGGAGCCGGGTCTTTTGTGAACGTGAGCAACCTGGGAGGCTTCGGGGGCGGCGGCGGCGGCGCGCAGCCCTTGCATCAGGGAGCCGCCGCCGGGGCCGCGTGTGCACAGGGCACCTTGCAGGGCATCCGGGCCTGGTAGGGACAGCTTGGCGCCACGGGATGCAGCTCGAGAAAGGCCAGAGCCCACGGCCTGGTCGCCTCGTTAAAAAAAAAAAAAAAATTCACGTCTTGCTCCCCAGAGCTTTGGATTTCATATCACTCGAGGCCGGGAAGGGGGTGAAGGGACGAAGGGCATGCCCAGGTCCAGTTGCCAAGATTGACTACTGAGTCGGAAACGCTGACCAGGCGCCTGAGAGGATGGTGGCCCCAGCCCTGGGGACCCCAGGGGAGGGCAGGAGACTGGAACTCGGCTGCCGCTTGTTTTCCGGGAGTGTGAAGGCTTCTTGCCCTCGGCTTTCCTGTGGTCCCCGCGAAGCGTTGGTGGGAAACCCGGACCAAAAGTGAAAAAGAAAAGAAAGAAGAAATAAAGGTGGGAAACCTGGACCAAAAACGAAAAAGAAAAAAAGAAAAGAAAGGCAAGAAGAAGAAAATAGGGCTGGCGGCTTGAGAAACCCAAGCTCTCCAGGGATCCCCGGACCCCTCCGCGGGGCTCCGGAGCGCCACACCACAGTTGATTTTCATTACCCCCACCACCCCCCGTGACGACTTCAGCCCGGGTCTCCGGATTGTCAGTGAAGGGCTCTGCAAAGAAAAACAGCCCCAGTGAAATTCAAAGTCGGGGGTGTGGGGGAGGCTACGCTGCGCTAACCCAAGACCTGGTGGCCCACCGGAGGTGTTCCCAGGTTTCCTTTCTGTTTCATATTCTGTACTGTGCACATACTATCTATCTATATATAACTATAACCACACGCCGTGTACACACCCGATGCCATACACTACAGGAGTCAATAAACAAGGTGCAATATTTCCAAACCACTGGCTGGATACACTGTTTAGACCAAAAGAACTGAGAGGGATCCCTTAAAAGGAGCAGGAAAAAAGGAAAATGTGCATAAGGGAAAACAGTCTTCCCTGGGAGAGCACAGGCCTGGTCTTCCCTGAGCCAGCCCCGGGCTGCAAGTCTGTTCTTTCCTGGCTTTGTTCAGTAATTTCTCTTTACTGTTGTTGAGACTCAGAACCTTTTGCGGTCCCGGGCTTTGTAACACCCTCAGATTTTACCGAGATGCTTGAATTCCCAGGTCAAGGCCTAAACTGCCCTACCTTGAGGGTCGCTAAGGAAAAGGAAACCTAGTCCCCGTGCTCAGCCGTTGGCTGCACGAAAAGGGCTCCTTGCTCAACCGCCGCCGCCAGGGCTTCCAGCGCGCCCGGGGGCGCTGCGGTGCGCCCCGCCGCGGACGAGCTCTCCCCCTCGGCCGCCCTCCCTTCTCCGCCGGCGGCCACGGCTTTATGCAGCGCCTTGTCACTTGCGGAGAATGCCTGTGCGAGGCCTGGGCTGCCACACGGCCGATTGTGAGCGTGCCAAGGCGGGTGAATGGGGAGGCCTCAGAGCGCCGCACCATTGTGGGGCCGGGCCTCGCTGAAAGGCGACTCCGGGCCGGGAAGGTGCGGAAAGAATGGCTTTTTATTGGAGTCCCGAACAAAAGGTGTGGTAGGAAGGCGAGGTCCCCTGCGCGAACAAAAACCCTAGCGCGTCGGATTGACGTCCCCCCCGCGTTCCCCATTGCTTCTCAGAGCGGGGGCTTTGTGCAGCAGTCTGCTCAACAGAGGGACGGAGAAATGCGCGGGGGTTTTGTTCCCCATTTTTTTGTGCACTGGGGGAAGGGGCGGCAAGAGGGACGGGGGCTGGGCGGGCGGCAGGGAGGGGCGCGCTGATTAGGCCGGGCGGGCCGGGGCGCGGAGACTTTCAGCGGGAGTCGACGGCCTGAATGCAGGGTCATTATTGCTACAAGTTTAGCAATTTCGCCCTTACAGGAGGAGGTGGGGGCTGCTAGGCTGCTACTGGGCAGCCTGGCTGGGGAGCTGGAAGGATGGAGGACCAGGAAAACAGGAGGGAAGGGAGGAAGGAAGTTAGGGAGACAAGAAAGGGAGCCCTGAGAAACCCTTTGACTGCCCAGGATTCTATTTGAACTAGACCAAAAGAGCCTAGCACGAGCCTGGAGAAGCGAAGCTTGAGAGGGTGAAGATCCTCCCTTCCAGGCCCCCTTGGGCGGCCGGCCGAAAGACCTCGGCCAGTTAGTGCACCAGGCCGCTGTCTTCGGCTCCTCTCTGCCAGTTTCCTCCTCTCCTGTAGCCCTGAAGGTGGCTGGGATGCTGTCTCCCAATGCCCTTTCACCGCAGGTTTCCTTCTTACCACCCCACCCTGTTTCCTTCTTTTGAGTTCTCTTCCCTGGGGTCAGCTTCCCTTGGGTTGCTCTAGCCAAGGGGTGGGCATTACTTTTGAGTTCTCTTCCTTGGGGTCAGCTTCCCTTGGGTTGCTCTAGCCAAGGGCTGGAATTACTTGGCCTTTCACTGTTTACATCTGCATAAAACTCACTGATCCATTCATTAACTATATATATACTGAGCTTATGTTATATGCTGCATTTCTTCCCTCCAGATCACGTATCACTGTTGGAGGGGTAGGAGTATCATGGGACAGGACAACATTGAGATGCCTTCTGCACTTCTTCATCTGCTCCTATCCTGGTGCCCCAGAGCCCAGCACATGGCTAGTTGAGTCAAGCTATGGCCTTGGGTACTGGCTGTGAGGGAGAGGCTGAGTAGGACTCACCTGGACCTCGTAGAACATCCGAAAACCCATTCCAATCCTAGAGCTGGGTCCTGCCTTCTGTAACCCCAAGATGCCATCTGAGGGCATAGCATTTCCTCACCGCCCAAGAGATGTTGTACTTCACCCTACAGACCAAACCTAGGAAACTGAGTGAGGATTTGGTAAAGACATTGACGCCAAGATACAACGTATAGGGGTTGGGAAGATTTTAGAGATAAGGCAAACAGCAGAGTCTGGGATGAAATTGGGCTTCCCTATATTCACTAGGTGCTGAGAATGATTGGCAAGCAAGACCCAGCTGGTTCGCTCTCAAGGCAAAATTTCAGTGTGTGGGCTTTAGGAACACAAGTCTCTGAGAGCAGCTGTTCCCTTGCCTGGGGAGTTTCCTACATAAGCAACTACTTTTCCTTCAACCTTGTCCCGCATCCTACTAGAACATGGCCTCTCCCATGCTTCCTGCACCTGATCTTCCCTTCCCTGCATGGCTTCCTCTAGTCTTCCTTCACTCTGTGTCCCCTCTTGTTCTAAAAAGGTTCTCTTGTGTACCCCTCATAGATAAAACACAGCTGCTTCTGTAGATTGGCTACCAAGTGGTTTGCGTGTCTTAAGATACTTAAAACTAGACTGGGGCAGTCCTCTTCCCACTCTCTGTCCTGCTTCGGAGCCTGCAGACTCTGAGTATAAATAGCTCCTATTACTTTGTTGAAGGATCTCCGTACTGGTCATTGCTGGGGCCCCAGCACTAGGAATATCAAGGGACAAAATCTTTGACCAACACAGTTACATCTGTGGATTCTCTCCCTAGGGAAAAAAAACTACCCCACCCCAAGGCCCAAACAATTGTTTTACAAAATTGTCCCATGAGCCAGGAGGAATCCTACAGTTCAAGCAACTCTTCTAACAACCTGAGACTTTGAGGAGCTCCTGAAAGGTCTTTCTGCCCTCTGCTTTCTGAGTGCTAAGGCATAAAATGGTCGAGTCTATGATTGCAGAGGTCATTCCTGCCTCAAATCTCTTTGCGTCCAGAATGGCTGTGTAACCTCCCCATCTCACTTGTGCCACACAGCTCAGAGGTGAGCAGACAGCACTGGTGGGAGAGGTAGAATAGTTTCTAAAAGGTCAACCTTTCCCCCTGCCCCACTGCGTGCAAAGTCTGATCTTGACTTTTGATTCAGACTACCTCCTTTCTAACCTCAGTGCCACCCCCACAAGCAGTATCAACCTGGAAGAACTCTGAACCTCAGTTTCTTCCTCTATACAATGAGTATGCTTACAGTGCCTCTCTTAGTCTTTTTGAAAAACCTGGGCTGGGTATATAGCTCAGTGGCACAGTTCCTGCCTGGCAAGTATGAGGTCATGAGTTCAATCCCTGGTGTGTGTAGGGGAGATCTTACTGAAAAACCAACAATAAAATGCAGAAATTTACATATACAACGCCATATATGTACATATATATGTATGTATATCTCACCCATATAACCAATCACCTGCACTTTGAAAATTAAACAAGACGATCGGCTACTCATCAGACATTGCATCAACCAGGATAGAGTTAGGATGTGCGTACACTGAGAATCAGGTCTGCGGGGTGGCAGGTCAATCCTGAGGATTTTGAACTCCAGTATAGTTTGCGTGTCACATTCCAGACAGGGCCGTTTCTAGTAAACCCGGATAGGCGGTACCGGGTGGGGCTTGCAGGGCAGAAAACATTTAGCAGAGGTTTTGACCTTGGCTACTCCCCGAGAATTAGATTGAAAAAGTAAAAGATCGTTCCAGGTGTGGCCACAAGCCCTTTCTAGCCCATCCCTCTCTGGAGGAAAGGGCTCTGGAAGGGAAACCCAATGGGCACCCATCAGTGACCCGGAGCCGCGCGTCTGTGACACGGGGAGACCCAGATGGGAGCGCGCTTCCTAGGAGAAGGACGCCTGCGGAAGGCGGGGTGGTCCAAGGGCTCAGGCCCAGCCTCTTGCTAGGCTCTATGGTTCAGATCCCCAGAGGAGACTTCCTAGCTCGTGGTCTGTACAGCAGGGACCAGAACCCTGGTAGAATCGAGACAGTCCGTGATTGAACGGTTCAGTGACCGGCCGCAGTCTAGCTCCGCGCTGTGGGAACTGACCGCCGGGAACCGCCAGGGTGAAGCAGGTGCTGGCCCGGAGCGGCCTCCCGGGGAGGCTTGGAGCAGTCGGGGCTGGCTGGCCAGGGAGCGCACCACGCGGCTCAAAGAGCCTGGCCAGCTGCAGGGCGAGCTCCCAAACTGGAAGAGCCAGCAGTTTGGATCTTCGCAGGCTGGGCTTGGAGCCAGGCGGAGGTGGGACGTCCGGGGCGCGCTTTGGTAGGCGCGCTGTTGGGCGTCCGCAGGATCCCTGGAGCCGGTCCTGGGGAGGCTGCTCCAGGAGGGCGCAACACCGCATTTGCGGTGTTGAAAGGCTTTTTTTTTTTTTTTTAAACCTACCTGGGCTGTAGGTAACAGATTAATAACAGCAATGTTTTCTGAAGGAGTGTTTAGAAAATTTATGAGATGCATACAGAAATCCTAATTGTGCAGCTCCCTCAATCATCTTTACCATCCAGGTGAAGAGCACAGCTACTGGGCTCCAGGCAGCACCCCACCCCTAATCCGCCCCACCCGGCCCGCCCCCATTACATGCCTCTGGTCACCACTATAGCCTTCAAGAGCAATCACTATCCTAGCTTCCAAGGGTACAGATTAATTTTATCAGTTTGGAGAGCATTATATACATGAACTCCTACAGTATGTATTCTGGTGTGGCTAGCTTCCTTCACAGGTGGGATTCCTTCTGCACGTGGCTGTAGGCTGTTCATTTTAACTGAAGTATCCCATTGTGTGAATATACAACTGATTTTTCCATTCCGATGCTAACAGAATCTGGATAGTTTCTTATGAAGACTGCTGCTAGGAACATTTACAACAGAGAGCCAACAGAATTTTCTGTGATGAGAGAAACATTCTATATCTGTGCTGCCCAATATGGTAGCCACTAGTCATGTGTGACTTTTGAGCATTGGAAATGTGACATTGGAAATGTGACAGATGTGACTGAAATATTGAAATCTTAACTTTCTAAACTTGTCATTATAGTTACAGTTTATAGACACAGATAGGTAGGGTAGCGTAATTGTAGTCCTTTGGGTGGTAATAAAACACATTTGTATTATAGATATTTTATACCTAGGAGTGTAG